ACAGATCCTGAGGACATCAGCGAAGCAGAGCTGGTGCCCGACGCCGAGATGCCTCAGCGAGGTGTCCTCGATGGGGTGGACGATGCCGGCGGCGCACTGACGCCCGAGGAGAGAGAACGCCTCATCTTGGAACAATTCCCGTTTCCCGGAACTCCGAACACAGAGGCAGAGCGCCGAGCGGCGTGGAGATCGTTACCGCAACGAGTCCGGATAGCTATAAGGCGCCTGCACCGATCGTTTGGCCATCTGCCAAACGCAGTCCTGATACAGGTTCTGAAGCAGGCCCGGGCGAGCAAAGATTTCATCGCCGCCGCCGGACTTTACAAGTGTAAGGTCTGCCTGGACACAGCTCCAGTGCCTAGGCACCACCCTGTCGCAGGTGATAGCGTGTTTCCAAAGGAATTCAACCATACGATAGGAATGGATGCGCTAGAGGTCAAGGACTTCTACGGAAACCGCTATACTGCTGTCAATATAGTTGACATGGGAACCAGTTTCCAGCAAGTTGTGCTCGTGAAATCTGGGGGTGGTAACCCAAGTGCCCGCCAGTGTGTGAAATGCCTGACTGACAGGTGGATCAGCTGGGCTGGACATCCCAAAGTCATAACCACTGACAGAGGGACGCACTTCAGGGGAGAATTTTCAGAGTATTTGGCACAGCATGGTATAATCCATAAGAACGCCCCTCTCGAGAGTCCGCAGACTATTGGAAAGGTCGAACGCCATGGTGGACTTGCTAAGGCCATCATTAGAAAAGTCGCGCAGGAGACTCAGCCCTCGAATATCGAGGAGATGGAGGCGGTCGTTACCGAGAGTGTTACTACTAAGAACGAGCTTAGTAGGCACCAAGGGTTTAGCCCAGCACAACACGTGTTGGGAAAGCAGCCTCGAACACCGGGTTCCGTGTTAGATGAATCCGAAAGTCTTGGTACATTGTTCACCAAGTATGATGAGACGAGTGTATACTACATTCGGCACAGAGCACGGCAGGAAGCCAAAAAGGCCTTTGTTCATTTAGAGACTTCTCGCAAGGTGGCCAAAGCATTACAGCGAAATGCAGCTCCTCTAGACACTGATTATAAGGTTGGTGATTTAGTTATCTACCGTCGGGACAACGTCCCTGGCAGCCCAGGAGTCGTATGGTCCACGGTTAGCCGCGTCATAGGACGTGAGGCAGAGAATGCGTACTGGGTATTACACGAGAATATCCCTGTACTTGTGAACGCTAGGAAGATGCGCCCAGCTGATTTAAATCGAAGTTGCAGCGCACCGCGTTTTGGCAGGTGAACCAGTGCTTCCGGAAGCCATCGTACATGGGCCGGAACAAAGGTTCCAGGATGAGCGCGTAGCGGATCCGGTCACAGCGCCAGCGACGCCACGTCCAGTGGCTGCAGCTGCCCCGCTTACACCGGCAGTCGCGCACGATGTGCCTATGCCAGCACCATCGACGCCAGCGATGATGCCCGGCACACCGATGCCAGCGCCATCTACCCCTGCAAGGTTTCGCGCCAAAGATAAGACGGGCGAAACCGCCCGGTCGCGATCGCCAGTAGGAGGCCGTGATGACGCACTAGTTGCGGAAGAGCTTGATCAAGTTGAGATCATGGCAAAAGGCCTGATAGATGCTCAGGGTTTTTCTCCAGATGAGTGTCTGGCCCTCCTTCGCGCTTATGACCGCGACCGACGCGAGGCGTACACGCGCCCGCTCCTAGATGATGGAGATCCCGGGAGCATAGCCCTCGCGGTGGGAGTATATCGGCACGGTGGTCTTGTTGGTGTCTCTGGACCAACGCGCGAGAGACCGTCGTTCGCCATGTACCTCAACCACTACCTCTTGCATCACAGTATGCAAGCCGGTCACCATCTTCCACAGTGGAGTAGCGTTCAGCTTACCAACAGAGGCGCAGAGGCCCATAGAGACCTAGCGAACACTCCTGGCTCGTATAACTACACTATAGGTGTGGGCGAGTATCGTGGAGGCGGCCTATGGGTGGAAGAAGCCACGGGTACAACTCCCGTGCGTATCCAAAACACGACAATGTATGGCACCGTCCATGATACTAAGAACAAGGTTCTTAAGTTTCGCCCGAAGGACGTGCACATGGTCGCACCGTTTGTAGGAGAAAGATACAGTCTCTCCGCATACACGGTGAGTGACCTCGGTAAGTTGTCTAAAGATGACATACAGCTTTTGTCGGATCTAGGCTACCCCATATATAGGGATGCGCCCAACACCTTTGGCAGGAAAGGCGATGGGATATACACCATGGGTCACTCTGATCTTCCCATCGAGACGTTCCTAGAGCGCATCCACGAGTACGGGATTAAGGAAATCGTAGATTGCAGAAGCCACCCGTACAGCGTTCGGCATCCACAATACAATTGTGATGAGCTTTCTGCCACATGCTTTGCAAAAGGGGTTGTGTACAGTCACGCCCCCGAGTTAGGCAACAGGAATCGGGGCGGGATTGAAGCCAACCTGCAAACAGACCAAGGGCTCTGTACGATCGCTAGAATAGTTAGCGAGGCTCACGATGACTTTCACCGAATACTTCTGTTGTGTTCGGAGGCCAGTTGGCGGCGATGCCATCGGCGAAATATCGCCCAGCACATATGGCTCGAGCATTCGAAACTTGCGGAGCACATACGTGCTAACGGACTGCCAGAAGCCCATCCGTGTCAATACATTCCTGAGGAAGACGACGGACTGGCAGCAGCATCGCACACAGCAGCGATTGGCACGACAGTGTCAGCAGTTGAGCCCTCGGATAGTCGAGAGGCAGAATCCAAGGCCTTCGCTCTCACCCCTGATGGGGAAGACGCCTTCGGCTCTAATGTCGAAGTTGGCTACATGGCCTCGCTCCTGGATTACCATAAGGCCCCTGTAGAGGTACAGCTGGGGCTGGATGCTGCCATGAAGACTGAATGGCAGAAGTACACTGAATTCAACGCAGTGGTTCCTTGCACAGACAAGGAGTTTAAGGAGCTTACAAAGGCTGGCCACGTGTGTATCCCCACCAAATGGGTTCTTACCGATAAGAATGAACACCTAAAGGGGACAGCAGCATACACTCCCAAGTGGAAAGCACGCTTGGTTGCATGTGGAAACTTCGAGCATATCTCGAATGAGGAGGATATCAGGGCAGACAGCCCCACGGCCGAGCCGGAAGGTATAGCCCTTCTGTGTTCATGGGCGGTTTCGTTGGCCCTGCGGCTCAAAGCAGCCGATATAACGAACGCATACTTCCAAGGGAAACCCCTTGAGCGCCTCCTCATTCTTCGGGTTCCCAAACACCCTAAGGGTGTGCCCGATGCAGAGATTCAGCGAGCCGGGTATATGATTGCCCGAGTACCCGTGTACGGCACCACCGACGCGGGTCGGAATCTTTACCTCCGTATAAAGGAGAGTTGCCGAGAATTTGGCTTAAATGCCTCGCAAATTCTGTCAGCCCTGTACTATATTACAGGAGAAGGTGGTCGTTTGTGCGCTTGCTTGTGCACCCACGTGGATGATTTCCTGTGGGCTGCTACCGCCGAAGGCGAGCCGGCTATCCAGAATCTGCTGGATAAGTTTAAGATCGGTCGCATAGAGACTGAGAAGTTCCGTTTCTGCGGACGCGAGTATGTGCAAAGCGCCGATGGGACCATCAGTATAAACTGTAGGGACAACACGCGTGCAATTCGCCCGATCGATATACATAAATCTGAAAAGGGCACGACTCCAGTCTCGAATGGCCAGCGCACAGCGCTGAGATCCGTCATAGGATCGCTGGCTTGGGTGGCCCGCGCCACGAGACCTGATCTTGCCTATAGGGTGAATGCCCTGCAGCAGCGTGTTACGACAGCCACGGTGGATACGCTCCGTGAAGCAAACCGCGTAGTAGCACTGGCGTTAGGAGATGCGGATAGGCCGATCACGTACAGCGCTAAGTTACCCTGGAATACAGGGGAGCTGGCGGTCGTCACGTTTTGCGACGCCTCCTTTGCAGGAGAGGCGAACCATAAGTCGCAGAGAGGCCGTTTCCACTATCTCACTTCCGCACAGTCGGCGGTGGACAAGAACGCGTCAACGCATGAGATGCACCTCATTTCGTTCTCCTCGTCCACCATGAAACGGGTTTGTCGCGCCACACTGCAGTGTGAGGCTTACTCGTTGCAGCATGCCATAGAGCATGGAGACCGTATTCGAGCAGCAGTACTCGAAGTACTTGGCAAACTGCCCCGGTCACAGAACTGGGAAGAAGTCGCCAAGAGATCGATGTTCCACCTGCAGTATACGGACTGCAGGTCCCTTTCGGATCACTTGACAGCGTCGATTCCAAAGTCCTGCGAGGATAAACGCCTTGCCATTGAGATGTCTGGACTCCGCCAAGGACTTTGGGAAGAGGACGAGCTAACGCACGTCCTATACCATCCCTGTGGCGATGAGTTGAGATGGATACCGACGCATTTACAACTTGCGGATTGTCTCACTAAGAGTATGAAACCGCTTTTGATCAATCACAGCATTGATCGCAATCTCGTTCAGGTACTCGATGTGCCCGCGCAAGCCGCACAGAATACCGAGAGTACCGAAAGCACTCCGCTTCGCGATTGAAGAACTCAGCCTAGAGCCTTGAGTCGCCGCACTCGGCTCGGTTGACTGCGCAAGCTCCCGGTATAATCCGGTGAAGTAGGTTTGATCCAAAGCGATCAAATTCGAGCATGATTCGGACGTCACACTACAGATAAGACGGGTGTGAAATTTCCCTGTCTTGAAGAGCCGTGTTGACATGTCCGCATGCGAGCGTAGTTTTTGTGTTAGTTCTGAACGCACCCTGTACGACAGACGTCTTGGGCTCAGACCAAAAAGTGTGCTCGTTTGTGTGGTTGGACACTCACTAATCCAGTTCCTGCTTCAAAGCTCTAATGTTTTCGGCTTTCAGTTTCACACTCTAATTCTCATTGCCATCACGGTGGAGAGTGCTAGCAATCCTGAGTTCCTATACAGCTTCTTTGAGGTGTAGAGCTGCGCTACTGCACCGCCGTCATCCGGAATGAGGGCGGCGGAGTCCCACCACAAGACGCTGAAAAGGCACCCTTGCAGGTTGTATTGCTATATAAGGGTCCTAACGGGCTCTGTAAGGGTTCTATAGCTACATAAGTGTGGACCCTGATGAAAAACCCCTCCCTACGATTAGGATACCTGCTCCATTCTAACCCTCCTTGTCAAGGGAGAGGGCTTCATTAAGCCTGAAGTCTACATTAAGGACCTATAGGGGTTTGGTATCTTGAGGGCTTTGAGATTGGGATCTCGGGCCCAGAGCCTCCAAAACCCCTTAATTAAGGAATATACCTTAAATTATAGTAGGTTCCCTAATATGATTTTATGGTATATTCCTTAATTAAGGGGTTTTGGAGGCTCTGGGCAGGGACTTGGCAGTTGAGGGATTTCTGGGGTCGGGCAAAGCGAGCAAAAAGTGGGGGTCGTAAGAGGATTGTGTGGGTGGGAGTAGGGTTTAGGGTTTAGGGGTTTAGGGTTTAGGGATCAGGAAGCCAGAAAGTTGGAGTTTTTGGATTGGGACTTACCTAATCTGCTTGGTATTGCTTGTTCGCTGTTTTTTCTGGCAAGGATGCATGCAACAGTTTCCCTATGCATCAGTGACAGAACCTGTTCAACAGGCAAACAGTTTCGAAGGTCGAAAGTACCTTCACAAGAGACACTTTCAAAAACAAACTGGCCGATTGCTTGAGACTAAACCCCAAACGCACCTGAGAATTCTCGGGACGGAGGTCGTCATCTTTTGCAATCCCTTGGGCCAGCAGCTTTGTCGCACACCACAGCCTGCAGGGCTGGGGTATGAAGGAAGCTTCTAGAGAAAGAGTTTTACAAGGTTTGGGGTTTCGGGCTTGCTTCGTGAAGTTGGGCGTCCGATGTATTAGCTTCTTGTTGGCGGAAACGTGTGCAGCGCGGTACATGGTTTTATCCGGGTGCTAGACCACTCGGGTGCCATGAGGCATGATGCGGTCGTCTCTAGTTCTTTTCGAACGGTGTGCTCCTCTTTCTCAGGTTCCCTGGTCCCTTTCCAGCAACTCGCCCCTCTTTCTCAGATTCTCCAGTGCCTTGCGAACGGTTCGCTCCTGTTTCTCAGATTCTGTAATCTCTTTCGAACGATCCTCCTTCTCAGACTCTCTAGTCCTTTTCGAGCGGTTGGCTCCTGCTTCGCAGATTCGCTGTCCTCTGGAGCGCTTTGCGAATGTCTCGGTCTTCTGTGTCAGCTATTATAATCAGGGATCCTACATTAGGGTACTATATTAGTTCTTAAGGAACCTACACTAATTAGGGTACCATATTAGGGCCCCCCTGCTTGCGGATTCTGAGATTCTCCAGTCCCTTTCGATGGCTGTGTTCATGACAGCCATCGGGCAGCAACAGAAGGACCGTAATCATCGCCATCGACCTCAGCGAAGGATTGCAAGCGAGCCCTAATTTCCCCCAAACACAACCCATGCATAGTCCGACTAATGAAGTCCCGCCAGGTTTGAAGGTTGGAACCCGGGCTTCTCATGTTGAATTAAGGGAGCTTAAAGACAGAAACAAGCTTTAGCAGACGCTCGTTCTAGGCCCCTGCCTCCATGACAAGGTGCCTAATCGACAGGGGCGCTAGAGCCGCTACTGTAGAGTCTTAAAGACCACACATTACATATAAAATCCCAGGCCCAAGCGAGGCTTCCCAACTCTAAGCCTCTAAAGCCTTGAAACAAACATGGCAGTTCCCCGAAAGTACCACCCTAAGCCCGAGACCATATAGCTTTAAAGTAACCCTCGAAGTTCCAAGGAAAGGCTTTGCTTCGTGGGGAAGCGTTATCGCCCCTCGATCGGAATTGGTGCATTTTCAAGTAGCTTTAGAGGGTTCCTTGACATGGGAGTTTCCCAAAAACAGGGGAGACCTTAATATAGTACTTTAAATAGTAGGATCTCTACGGATAAAACCCAGAGCTCTCCGCCCAAAAAAAATAGCAGGCGAGCATCGCCCAAGCCTGGGGCCCTGGGACGCTCCTCCTTTGCTGGGACTACCGAGGCCTCGGAGGGGGAGGGGTCCTTATCTAGGATGCCCAGTAGTACCCTTATTCCCTTTTTGTAGTCCTAGGTTCCTTATAAAGTTACCCAATACCAAAAAGAGAGGCCTTTCTATTCTTAGGTTACTGGGTATCCTAGTTATTATAAGCACACTAATACTAGGTTCCTGAGTAGTGCCCTTTGGCCCTTTTTATTTTAGGGTCCCCTTATTAAAACCGAATAGTAGGAAAAAGGGTAGCCTTATTATAAAGCGGTTACTCAGAAACCTAGCACACGAATATAGGGGCTTAAGTAGTTGCAAGTATACTATTTTGGGGATTCCGTTTTTGGTTCTAGCATGACTGGCACCCAAAGCCCTCTTCTAATTGTTGCGGCCCCTATAATTACTATACCCTCTAGACTCTAAACCTGAGGTTCCTTTCACACTACAGTGTACCTCGAAAGCCAACATATTACACGTTTCTGGAATTTTGGCGTTTCAGGGTTCCTTCCCAAACCTTTTACGCGCTTGAGCTATATACCCCAAACCTTTATAAAGAGGAACAGTTCATTTCAAGGAGTTTGAGGTTTAGGGTTCAGGGTGTAGTGTAGCATGCACGGAGCCCCTGGGAATAGCATGACTAGTGACTAGATCCTCAACCCCCCAAAAACCCCAGCCCATAGATTTAATCCGACATAGATCCCAAAACCGCAGATCGTAGATCCTATACTCCTAACCCCAAGTCATCCTAGATCCAAATTTGTCGGATTTTCGGCTAAGAACTCCTAGAATACATCCCTGAAGCCCTGCCCTAGACCATAAAGCCCCAAACCCCGAAGCCCAAAATCCGAAACCCCAAAATCCTGAACCCGAAACTCCACGGCACTGAACCCCGAAACCCGAAAGCCCCGCGCACGCTTCACGGAGCCAGGTTTTTTCGAATCTCAGGACCCGAAGCGCCTTAGAACGGTGGACGTTAGCCGCAAGGCAGCAGAGAAGAGAGGTTGCACTTTGGGTGTCTTTTGCTATGGACAATGGGAGTGGGAGATATTCTGTTTGTTCAATACGTCCTGCGTTTCAGGGCAGAGCCTCTTCAGTTGCTATTTTGTGGTGTCATAGTTGAATCGAAGTGCCTCGGTATGGGTTGGGATTTTGGACTGCTGAGTTTGGGGTTGCAGAGGCCGGGCTCATTCTATTCTGGGAGTATTCCCTGATGGACCCTAAAGACCCTAGACCCTAGATCCCTAAACCCAAACCCCCTTGGCCCCTCCAAACCCGCAAACCCACAGATCATGGTCTTTTCGAAGTTTTGGAGTATCGGAGCGTTGCCCTGGCTCGTTTCTGTCGGAGCCGTTGTGGGTCTGGTATCTCTGCCAGCTTTCTGGCTTAAGAGGGTCAAGAAGAGATAGTCTCGCAGTCTAGTGATTCGATTGCTGTTTGATTTAGTGTGTAGAGGGTTGGGTATGGCCCCCACTCAGTAATAGTTTCCAATCGTTTTTCCAGTCGAAAAGCCTTGGCCTAAATCAAAGCCACTCTAACCTGAACCGCCCAAAGACCCCCCTCCATAAGATATGCCCTAAACCGAAAACCCTAACCCCCTAAACCCCTAAACCCCTACACCCCAAACCCCTAAACCCCTAAAGCCCTAAACCCCTAAACCCCTAAACCCTAAACCCCTAAACCCTAAACCCCTAAACCCCTAAACCCCCCTAAACCCCCAAAACCGCCTCGCACGTCTCAGGAAATCATGCCGAGGATGCTGCCGTCGTTCTGCGTGAAGTGGTCGGCGATCGACCCGCGGACCCAGAGTTGGACTTAGGAAGTAGGGGGGTAGGGGTCCACTTAAGGGATCTATAGGGGTACTATAGGGCCGTCGCAAAGGTAGCACGGCAGTGTTGGACTTAGGAAGTACCTTAACCTACGAAACCCTACTTTTTGTAGGTTCTTATTATAAACCCTAACATGGGATTTATAGGGACACTACAAAAAAGTAGGTTTTGGTAGAGTTGGACTTATAGTAGGAAGCAGGGGGGTAAGGGTGCTCTTAAGGGATCTATAGGGGTGTAAGGGTCCTCTTAAGGGATCTGTACCGGTACTTTTGGGGCTTTCAGAGACTCCAGAACCCAAAAGTCAGAGGGGCACCTGAAGGGGTCGAAACAGGCAGTACGATAGTAACAATGTCCCATAGCACATAGGTTTTTTAAAAACCATAGCACATAGGTTTTTAAAAAACCATAGCACATAGGTTTTTTAAAAAATTATGAATGAACTTCCCATATCTCCTATACTCTCCTGTGCACATGTACGTAGTCGAGTCGGCTAAACAAGATCCATGACAAAGGAGTGTACATAGCATGCCTCTTCGAGGTCAAACCTACACTTACAGCGACAGCCTCCTGTGTCTGTGCGTATTTTGGGGCTGGTGACTTCTAACCAAACACTTTGTTGGGACTTGGGACTTGGGGCACACCCTATGCTTAGCTTGCAGGCTGGCGGTTTCTTGCCAATGCATGGTTCAGAGTGCCTGCAGTTGCGAAGCTGACAGTCGTAGTACGCCCCCCCAACAACGTTTGGTTGGTCGCCTCCAGCCCTACACACCCCGAGGTCCCCAGCCCTCACCTGAAACATCAATCAGCCCTTATAGCTCCCCAAATCTTATGAAAGCTTGAACCCTGACTATAATGAGCTCTAAGCCCTCACCCCCAGAATGCCATACTCCCTCAACCTTATACCCCCAGACCCGAAGCGGTTTACCCCAAACCCTAAACCCTAGACGACTTGACAAGCCCACGCAGGACCTCCTGGTGGGCCACAGCATGGGCGTGCAAGTTGGGTTGGAGCTTCTCGACGTTTAAAATTTGAACACTCTAACTTGTATGCACGTATAATTGCAGAAACAATCAAGCTGTGAAGACATCAACATCTGAATATATTGATGTGTCGAACAGAAAACAAGCACATACAAGTGCATGAGTAAAGAAACACGCAGGGAACTACATACCTTTGCGCATACACATGCAAGCAGATGGGCCGTATTAGCTGGATTCGGAGTTCAGAACACGAGAGAGGTTGCGGACTTCGGGTTGAGAGTTCAGGGTTCTCAAGGGTTTACCTAGAGGCTCCATAGTAGTCCCTTTTGGGGGTTCATATTTAGAATCCTATAAAGTACTCCCGCAAAGGAACTGCTATGGAGCCTATGGGTAGGGCACGGCATTTAGCGTGGTTTGGGAGTTGGATCAGGTTTTTCGCCTTAGGGTTCCGGGCCCGGTGAATTTCTTGGATGCGCTTTGGGCTGTGAGGTTGATGGTCTAGGATGCCCAGTAGTACCCTTATTCCCTTTTTGTAGTCCTAGGTTCCTTCTAAAGTTTAAAAAGAGAGGCCTTTTTATTCTTAGGTTACTGGGTATCCTAGTATATTATGGTACCCTTATAGTTCCTTTATTGTACCCTTTTAAAGGACCCCTTATGGATCCCTTTAAGGAACCCTTACTTAGGTTACTGGGTATCCTAGTGGTTTGGTGGTTGGATAAAGAGCCCCACGTGAAAATGTCGCGTCGCCGGGCCACGGCCCCGAAACACTGAACCCTGAATCCCTAAACCCTACCTTCATAGGGATCCTTAGGGGTGTAGGGGGAGGGGGGGTAGGGGGCCTTAAGGCCCATAATAAGGACTAATAAGGCCTATTTAAGGAAATATAGTCCCCTACACCCCTCCCCCCTACACCCCTAAGGATCCCTATGAGAATCCCTAAACCCTACCTGGACCCCAAAAGTATGTAGAATAATTGCCTTTTATAGGTTTTGGGCCATTATTTTACCTACTTTGGGGGTCTAGGTATAAATCTCAAACCCAACCGCAGAGCACTTTTACCATCCCTTTCCAAGCTCCGAAATCGAGTTGCGACACTGATCTCCAGAGCATAGGCTTTGGAATGAGGTGTTTTGCGAAAGCCACAAACAGGCGTGAGATGTTCAAGGTTTGGGTTTGGGCTGTAGGACTTAGGGTGTAAGCTTAGGACTGAATAGAGACTACCGCTCGTGGCAAAGGTTCGCCTTGCTCTTCCCTGACAAGGCGGCCGTCACTCAATGCATGCTGGGACGTGCTGGGTCTAATGTGGAGGTCCGGATCTGTAGCTATACTATATAATGATACTATACTATAATAATAACACTATACTATACTATATAATGATACTATACTATAATAATACTATACTATACCCTTAAAGCCTGAAGGCCCAAGACCCTTAACAGCCGTAAACCTACAACCAGCTAGCGCCTTTTAACTCCCGATCCAATCCGTCTTCCCGCAGGGTCACCCAAAAGCGGGGGCTTCCACAGTTTCTTATGGTTGATGATATAAATCCTGCATTACCTTAAGGACCCTAGACTATGAGAATTATGGTATATTCCCTATTATGGTTAATGTAGGATTTATATCATCAACCTTAGGTCTTCAGCTAAGATTGTGAGGCTTGGATTCTGGGGTTTACACTTTAAGGATTCAGTTTCAGAGGAAAGAACTGATGGTTTGCTGGACTTGCCTAGGCTGTGCATAAGCTGTACTACAACTGTGCCGGATATGAAAAAGGTGAAGGCATCCATTGCTGTCCCTGCCGCAAGAGCCTGACGAAATCGTGAGTTGCTGTAGCCTGCGGGACTGTGAAGTTGAGAGAACAGTACTGTTCAGACAGCGGTGTAGACAAAATCCGTAAGTGAAGTGGATCGCATGAAGGAGCCCCCAAACTCGGACCGAAGCCTTCAAAATCTTTTGAAAGCTACTCCCCTAACCCTTTGTACAGTTGGAAACCATTCTACTATAATAATAATACAATACTATACTGTGTAATGATACTATACTATTATAATAATACTATACTATACTATGTAATGATACTATACGCTATAATAAAACTATACTACACTATATAATGGTACTATACTATAATAATATTACTATACTATACTATATAATGATACTATACTATAATAATATTACTTTACTATACCATATAATGATGCTATACGATAATAATACTATACTATACTATATAATGATACTACACTATAATAATACATAATACTTTACTATACCATATAATGATGCTATACGATAATAATACTATACTATACTATATAAGGATACTACACTATAATAATAATACTTTACTATACCATATAATGATGCTATACGATAATAATACTATACTATACTATACTGTATAAGGATACTATACTATAATAATAATAAGAATAATAATAATACTTTACTATACCATATAATGATACTATACGATAATAAAATACTTTACTATACCATATACTGATACTATACTATAATAATAATAATACTATACTATATAATGATACTCTACTATAATAATAATAGTACTTTACTATACCATATAATGATACTATACGATAATAAGACTATACTATACTGCAAACCATTGAGCAGGTGGGATCTTTGATCCTCCTCAACGGAACCTACGGCCAAGCACTTCAGACGGGTTCCGTGCTCAGAAAGGGTTTAGGGTTTGGGGTTTAGGGTTTAGGCTTTTAGGGTTTAGGGTTTAGGGCCCTGGAGGGGTGGCGTCTACTCGGCCAAAGGTGCTGATGATCGCAGGAAAAATCACAAGGACCTTAAAGTTGAAGGATCATACTTCCTACAAGAGCCACAGCAAACCTCGTCCTCGAACGCCTCGCGTTCGCAGAGGCCGACGATGAAAGACCACTCTGCGAAAGGAAAAGCCCCGCAGTATACTGGATGTGCAGTACGGCCAGCAACAAACTTCCCCCCAGGCCTGAAAGCCTGAAGCTCTAAACTCCCAAACCCTAAAACATAGAACCCGAGAGCCCTACTTGTAGATTCTAAACCCCAAAGCCCTAAAAAACTCAAAACCTTCAAGCCGTAATAACACTTTCCGTCCCTTTCCAAGGCTTCCAACCCGTGCTCCGGCTTCCCTACGTGGGCGGCTTGCTCAGCAGCGTCATCTTCTGGCTTCTGGAGCAAGGCCACGAGCAGAGCCTCGGTGACAAAGAGAGGTCTTCTGGAGGGGTCTTCCTTTAAAGGGGTCTTAGGGTTTAGGGGTTCAGGGTTTAGGATTCGGGATCTATAAGAGTACGGTGTATGAGGAGAGCCTCGGTCAAAGAGAGGTCTTCTTAGGGGTACTTAGAATGGGACCAAGGAATACCTAGGGCTCATTTAAAGGGATCCTCAAGAGTTCCTTTAAGGGATCTATAAGGGATCCATGGGTTTGGGGTTTCTTTAATCCCTAAGAAACAGCTAAAACTACAATTATGGTCTAAGTTCAGTAGAGTTCTTTGGGAGGGGCCTTTGTAGGGGAAAGGCGTACTCTAGCGCTTGGTGAAGTTTCATAAAGGTGTATGAGCAGAGCCTCGGTCAAAGAGAGGTTTAAAGGGGCATCTGAAGGGTTGTTTACTTGGAAGGTCATGGGACTTAGTAAGTAAGGTTATAAGTACTCTAATTGGGCTGAGAAGTAGTTATAAGTTATAAGTATAAGTACCCCAGTAATAACCCGAGTTACTAAGTCCCATGATCCTCCAAGTAGGGGCTCTAGAAGGGCATCTTTACGGATTTTTTTATAAAGGCTGATGAGCAGAGCTTCGGTTCCGAGCGCTTTTGGGGTTTGGTGCCTTTGGAAGGGACGTTGAAGGGGTATTTTTTGGTTTTATCGGGTTTTTGGGTGTTGCTTTGGAGGGGCCTTTGGAAGGAGCCTTGTATGAGTACTACAGGTTCATAAAGGTGCATGAGCAGAGAAATCGCTCCAAGTTGAGGGTTCATGCTTAAAGTGTCACGGGACTTAGTAACTCGAGTTCTTATTGGGGTATCTATACTTATAACCCCAATTAGGGCAATTATAGCCCTACTTACTAAGTCCCATGATCCTCCAAGTGGGGTTGAGGGCCAGGGGGCTTCGCCAGCGATGGGGCCCTGGCCAAGTATCGGTGCAGTGTTTTCAAGAATCAAGATGTTCGAAGGCAGTGAGACTGCATATGAAGCCAAACCTCTCGACACCAGAAGCCCTAGTCAACTGAGAAAGCCATAAATCCCACCCCACAGCACTTTGAAGAAAAGCAGGCCTTAAATCCGAAACTCTGACTGACGAAGGATTCTCGAATCGATGCGGATCTGCCTCAACCCCTTCATCGGGCTCTTCTTCCGCCCCTTGGCAGCCTTGGTCATAGGTCGGCCAGTAGTACCCTTGTACACCATTCCCACTTTTGTCGGCCCCTTTGTTGAACCTGAATTCTAGGAAAAGGGCATCGGTATTGCAGAATCTCATCTGCAGGTAGAGGAAGATAAAAGCTTGCCCCAAAGGGTCCTTGTATACTACCATTATGGTTTAGGGTTCCTTGAAGGGGTATGATAAGGAAACCCAGAGGGTCCAAGTACTCCCTATTATAGGACTCTAGGGCCTTGTCTAGGTGTCAAAACACCACAAGTAAGGACTGCTTGGACCCTTGGTGGGAAATGTTTCAACTTTCCTGATTCTGGAAGTGTCGAGGTTTCTTTCCTTGGGTGCCGAAGAAGTCAGGGCCCAAGGCCCGATCCTTCACAGCCCCTGGCTTTGTCCTCGTTACGATCTAGGACTTAGGTTTTCGGGCGAAGGGGGGTTGTCTTGTCTGGTCGGGTTCTGCTGAGCTGGCTTGGAAGGTGTTGTTTATTTAGTGTATTTATGGGGTTTATGGGGATCTACTACCGGTTCTGAGAGGCCACTACCCTGTGGAGCATACCTTGGGTTCAGCACTTGCAGGTTCATGCGTAGTTCTAGATTGGGTGATAAGTAATGAGGACATGTGTAGTTATAGCTTCTTCTGAACCCTAAACCCCTAAACCCTAGAACCCTAGACCCTAAACCCCTAAATTTGGAGCCTGCCTGGGCTCTTGAAGTCTTGGGGGCCAAGCCCAGCCGATCGACAGAGGTCTAAGCCTTAAGCGCAACCTGAAACACGAATGCAGGAGCCTGATTAAGAAACCTTGGGCCTTGGGGTTCCTTTAAAGGGTCTATAAGGGTTACTAAAGGGGGTCAAAAAGGGATTTATAAAGGGTTTAGGGTAGGAACCTGATAAAGAAACCTTGGGCCTTTATTAGGGTTCCTTATATGAATCCTACTGTTTTGGGCTTACAGGCGCAGGGTTTCTGAATCAGGCTCCTACATTAGATCCTGCACCATACTGCGAAGAACTATTGAATACAAGGGCCTTGGTAATTAGAGTAGGGTTTCGCATGTCACATATGTCTATAGCCTAAACCCTAAACCCCTAAACCCTAAACCCCTAAACCCTAAACCCCTAAACCCTAAACCCCTAAACCCTAAACCCTAAACCAAGTCTAAACAAGCCCCGAACGAGCAACAACCCTGGACCCCTCAGCCCGAACCCTTGAAATCCCAACGCTAGACCTAATATAGGTAGTATTATTTGAGAGACCCCTTAAAGGGTACCCCTTCTGAACCCTACTTCTGGCTCTATTAAAAGGGACCTTATTGAGAGGGTCTTGTTCCCCAAGGGTCCCCCTAATCCTAACTCCCATAATACCCGAGCTCAACAAGGCCTGCTGACGCTTCTCTTTGGGAGCCGCGCACTTGCGGAGTTCTACGGTAGCCTTGGCAGACAAAACAAAGGTCCTCGTCGGGACTAGATGAAGTATTGATGTTATTAAGGGGATTCTTTCTGGTTCGAAAGTGTCAGGGTTTGAAAGCTTTTTTTCGTTTACATCATGATTTGCGGCTTGGTGGATGCTGTCGAGGCTTCTTAGCAATCTTGGCAAGTCAAACTGTTGGGGTTGTGTCGAGGGGGTACTAGAAATACGAACCCCAGTTCATATGCTTTGTACATCATCGTCATAATGGCTCCGTAGTAGTTCCTTTTTGGGACTACCTTAGAGGATCCTAAATATGAACCCCAAACAGGAACTACTATGGAGCCTATGGGCTTGAAGTGTGTGGTATCTGGGGACTCTATGGATGTGGCTGCGCCTTATTAACCCTAGGGCTCTAAGGACTCATATGGGAGTTTCCGAGAATTAGGGGTACCTTATTTTGGGTACGATATGAAGAAGGATCCTACTATTTAGGGTACTATTAGAGTCCCCTATTGTCGGAAACTCCCATAAATTTTGGCTTTGGGGCCCAAAGACCGTACTATGTAAGGTTTTCGGTGATATTTTGGCCCCCAGGGTAAACCCAGAGGATCTGAAGCAAGACATCTGAAAGAAACTGAAAGCTCTGCCAGCAGTTCCAGACCCTACTAGGATGCCCAGTAGTACCCTTATTCCCTTATAAACCACTTTAAACATAAAAGGGCACGCTTTGGTTACTGGGCAGCCTAGCCTAGATCAGATCAGAATTTCCTGCATTATCAGTTACTTGCTTATACCTCGTTATGCGATGATGTTTCTTGTCACGTAACCTTGCAGATGACGAAGTCCGAACGTCTGTGATGCACGTATTTTGAGGAGCGTAGCAAGTGCAATAGCATTTGGGGCATAATTTAAATGTACAGTAATATAGCGACAGACCATTGTTGGCTATTCAGACCCTTTATGTCAGGATTTGGTGGACTCAGTGTTGGGGTTCGGGCTAATTACTCTGAATGTCACGAAGGTAGGGATTGAAGGGTGGGAATCGGGGTGTTGGAAATTTTTGGCGTTGGCTGTTTTCGGGGTTTCAGCCGGCAAAATCCCGACATGTCAAGCTCAGGCAAGGACTACATGCACCAGGTGTGGGACCACTACTTGGGTCTGCCGGCAGAAGTGGAAGCCTCGACCCCGAAACCGCTAATGCACTGGTCTCGCTGATAACAAAACGAGCTAGCATGATTTCTTTGGAATCCCTGCGTCTTCATTACCTCATAGCAAAATGCCGACAACTGACTGCTGCTTTGGAGACCTTTAAACAGCGCCCAAATCATACTTCTTTTTTGGACTCAAGTCAGAATCAAGGCTTGGGGTTGTTTCCTTTGAGTTTGGGGTCTTTCAGGGCCTTGATATGGGAGTTTCCGAAAATTGGGGGTTCCTCATTGTGGGGTCCTTAAGAAGAATCCTACTATTTAGGGTGCAATATTATTAGGGTCCCCTATTTTAGGAACCCTCCCCATATATGAAGCATGTAGGACTTATATGCGGCGTACGGGTTGAGTACCAACAAAAGGCATCTTGAGTCGCTTCTTCGGCCTCCTATACAGAGAATTTCCCATGATCCTAAAATTTAGGGTTTGGGGTTTAGGAAATTCAGGGCTCTGGGAGCCTGAAACTTAGGGTTTAGGGTTTAAGAAGTTTAGGTTTTAGGGTTGTGGGTTTAAGAAGTTTAGGGTTTTAGGGTTGTGGGGTTGGCTTTGGATGGGCGGAGATCCAGAAGCCTCAGCCTCACTGCGCAAGTTTCAGTCCTAAATCCCACAGCCCCAGAACCCTGAAACCCCGCAGCTCTCCTCTAGGGCTTCAAGTTCAGGGTTTAAGGCTTAGGGGTTTAGGGTTTAGGGTTTATTAGGGTTTAGTGTTGTTGTCATGATAATTAAGTTTCTGGCTTGGGGGTTTAGGATTTCAGGTTTTGGATTGACGTTAAAGACCAGGTGGGATTTGCTCCAACACCAAGAGCATGAAGGCCTTCCTGCGCGGCTTCCAGGTCCTTGATGCGCATTCCACAGGCGGCATTTTGTCGCAGGGAGGGGGAAGTGGGCATCGACGAATCCAAAAAAATCCGGTTCCGTGTTTGTTCATGAACCTCTTAAACCCTAAACCTAAAATAGACCAAACTCAAGCCTGTTACCTTGGCTTCTACTGCAATTGAAAGAGTATGTCTTACTTTCGGGGAGAAAGCTTAAGGCCCATCCCTCATCTAACCATTGATATTGGGGGAGCTAAGGAGCCAGGGATGATGATAATCCCTACTAGATACGGAGCTAAAGAGCCGAGGGAACCCCAAAAATCACTGCTTAGTCATTGAAAGGTTATAATTAGAGAAGCCTGGCAGTGTTCCGTTGCTTTCGGGCTTCAGGGTTTGCATCCGCAAAACCGTCACCTGAGGAATTGTCGCCAAAACCGTCGCACTCCAACATGCACACGAGAGCACAGCATCCCTTCATTAAGAAATTTCGCTTCGAATTCCTCAATATACGATCCACAACACAATCATACAACAGTTTCGTACAGTAGTACATACATCCCCGTGACTGAAGAAGCCGTGTTCCCTTCTTAAACTGCTAGAGTGTATCGGTGCAGGCCATCTCCTGCATGAGCTTGGGCACCCGACTTTGCTTATTGCTGGTATCTGGGACTTCTTGACACCGGCATACAACATGGTCACCATGAATCGTGCCGGGGGCCTGGTGGGCTTGGGAGAGGTTGACCGTCCTCTCTTTTGAGTTGTTTCATCATTCAAGTCCCGAACCCCGAACCCTGATTCCCAAAAGCAACTGGCCAAAACAGACCAAACATAGCCGTTATGGAGTTCGAGTGTCTGCAGTTTGTATGCTCGGCCCTACCTGTAATCCGCACTTGGCACATATTTGGAGAGAGGGCCCTGATATCGGTTGTTGTTGAAACATGTGTGGAACCATCTCAGAGTGTTTGTCTTGTGTCATGATGAGACTAGGACCCAGAGTAGGCCCTTGTTCCCCTTTTTAGGGGTTTAGGTTCCCTTATACAGTAACCCCCTTTAAACCAAAAATGGCATCCTTGCTATTCCTAGGTTACTCTTAGCTGCTCTAGGAGAACAGCGGCAGCTGACACAGCCTGAACTCCAAGGTCTCATGTGCTTACCACAACCCCTTCTTGCAGTTCAATTCTAATCGCTGTTTTCAACACTGTAAGTTCCGACCTTCATTCTCAAGCAGCTGCAATCCCCAACCTATCAAAACAAACCGAACACTGAGCCCTGAACGCAGAATGAACCCCTGAACTTGAAGCCTAAATCCCTAGATCCCCAAACCGCTAAACCCCAAACCGCCAGACCCTAAACCTCTAAACCCCCCTAAACCCTAAACCCTGTACCCCTGGACCCTAAAATCCTAGAGTCCGAAGCCTTAGTGTTTGGTGTTTCTTCGGGTAGGGTTTCCTCATGCAGGTATACTAGCTAGGTTCCTGAGTAGTGCCCTTTTGCCCTTTTTATTTTAGGGTCCCCTTATTAAAACCGAATAGTAGGAAAAAGGGTAGCCTTATTATAAAGGGGTTACTCAGAAACCTAGTTTCCTCATGCAAGTATACTAGAGAATCGGATTTCCTTTTTTTAAGTGACTACATGATAAAGCTTCCCCCAACCCGACACCAATTATTCAGGACCTATTTTGTAGTGTTCTTTTGACCAAGGCCATGCGAAACGCTCGGCTTGTTGTCGATACCCTGTGCTCCGGCGCTGATATGCATAGGGTTTAAGGTTTGCTGGCCGATGTCAGGTTTGAGTCTTCAGTTTAGGGTTTAGGGTCTTGTGTCGAGGATTTGGGCGTTCGGGGTTTGGAGGTTTGGGCTTCTGGTGGAGGATTTTGCCGATGTAAGCGGGTCAACGCTAGGCCTGTGTAGGTTTAGAGGATAGAATTGGGGCAGCTCTAGAGAAGTGCGCAAGTATGGCGGGTTTAAGTTAAAGACATAGGCCATGAAAGCGACAGCCCTATACCCAGAGCCCCGAACTGAAAGCTTCAATCATATCTCCACCACCAGCGTGGCCGACTTTTGGTTGGTTGTGGAGGCGCAGAAGGCACCATGAGGTTCTGTCGGTTTAGGGTCAAATCCAGATTCGCACGGCCCGTGAAGCGAAGATAGGGTTCCGAATAATTGTCAGCAGTATTCTGCAGTGTTCAGTAGGCGGTGTAAGCGAAGAAATCGCCGAAACCCCAGGTTTGTTTTTCCAGGCGCCTGCAGCCAAACAGAAATTACGGAAGGATTAGTATTAGGGTCGTTTAAGGAATTGTGCCGATTCGGGCGTGCAGGGTCGGAGTGTTTGGGTGTCTCGTGTCTGCAGGGTGTTGGAGTCGTGTATGCTTAGTGTTTGAAGCTAAGGTCCGGACACTTCACCTGCCTGGAGCATCCGGAGCTGGCAATGGCGGAGGTGAACGATTTCCTCACTTTCGAGGCAAGAGGGAGAGTGATTCGGTTGATGATATAAATCCTGCATTACCTTAAGGACCCTAAACTATGGGAATTATGGTATATTCCTTATTATGGGTCATGCAGGATTTATATCATCAACAGTTCTAAAGCGTGCTTAGGTCTCAGGTGTGCGGGTCATGAAACTCAGCTATCGGAACAACGACAACTGTTAGAATACTCACAATGGTAGCATTGAATCGGTCAGTTCATTCTGCAAACACCAGCAGTGGCCGGTATGGTGTAGCATTCGCAGCAGCCCTGAGAATCAGAGAATTCAATCAGTACGCCCCGGCCCACAGGTAGACAAAACACAGAGACTAATGACACAACGTCGAAAATGGTTTAATGCACGCAGAGCCTCAGAATGTCGGATGATCCGTCCTTCCGGCATGGTCATTTTGGAGCTCTGCACCTGGGGGTTTGTGACGTTCCCAGAGCTTCCAAAACCCCTTAGTTAAGGAATATACCTGAAGTTATAATAGGGGTCCTAATATGATTTAAGGCTTTTTACCCCTAATTAAGAGGTTTTGGAGGCTCTGAGTTCTTGGAGAGCCGAGAGGACTCCGCGACAAAGAAACGGAAGCACGCAGGCTCTCAAGTTTGAAGCAGTGTTCTCTAGGTTCGGATTCAGATATATTGGCTATTCATTTTCGGTCGCCTTCGGTACCTAAACCCCTAAACCCTAAACCCCTAAACCCCAAACCCCTAAACCGTGTGCCATCAATGTGAAGGTCCCGCACTTCAAGAGACTGAGCACCTTTGACTTCGAGATGCACGCGAAGCAGATGTAAAATCAATCCTTGGGAGAACGTCATTTTGGGACGCAGTGTACCCTCCTAGAAACAAGCATGTAACCTCATATAGCTATTTGCTCATGGATAGTAGTCTGCAGTCGGGCCCCTGGGAGGCTTGCTTCTAGGAGCACTTTAGATCTCGAATGGTGTGAGGTGGGGTTCGTGGAGGCTAGATTCTGTGTCGTCAACGCTCCAGGCTGATTTAAGCTGAAAACCGGAGCCCCAATTCCTAGACCTCAACGACTTCCCGTAAATCCTGAATCAAGATCGGAGTCTATGAAAACGGGTACTTGGATCTATAGTTGGGGCAGCTCCAGTGAAAGGGCTGACCGTTCCCATGATTCGCAACCCTGGTATCCAGGTCTGAATACTTCGTCGCAATATCCGCTTGTAGTCCCCATGAAACTTTACTGGAACTGAAAGACCTTATAAACATCCCAAGCCCCAAGCAAAAAAGCTCCTCTATGTAGATACATATGTGTATGTATATATATATATATATATAGATATACATATATATATATATATATACAGAAATATTACCCAATATATATATATATATATATATATAGAGAGAGAGAGAGAGAGAGAGAGAGAGAGAGAGAGAGAGAGAGAGTCTCTGATGCAGCGTGTTGGCTGGGACTGCGGGGCTTGGGGCTAGGGGCTCTGGGCTCAAGCTTTGCTTTAAGATGTACCCTGAAAACCCTACCTAGACCCCCAAAGTAGGCAAAATACCCAGGGTTTAGGGTTTAGGGTTTAGGGTTTAGGGAAATAATGGACCTAGAAAAGGCAATTATTCTACATAATTTTGGGGTCCAGGTAAACTCTAAAATCAGAACCCAGAGCCCAATACCGGAGCGCATACTTGGTAGCTCATCTCGTTCCCACAACTTGCTGAGCAAGCTTCCGGGGCCCTGATTCTATAGCGCCTCTCGCCCCTGAAACCATCAACTTTTGTGACTAGAATGCCTCTCAAAGCACACCGTCAATATCTCGCCCCTCAATGCTACTTTGGCGCAGGGCTTGGATGCCATAGGCACCTTAGAATCAGAGTTTGGCTTTTTCAGGTTTGGGGTTTACATTTGAGGTACAGAGACCAATGTCTGCAACGCCTCTGAGTCCTTTGTCCTTTGAATCTGCGAACCTCCGCACCTTTGAAGCATCTGTCGGCTTCAGAGTGAGGTATGAAAGATTAGCGATGGCAATGGCAGGGATGAGCCGAAAACAGGGCTCTATGGTGGCCTACCAGGCTGCGTGTGCCTGCTCGGGTGTGAAGGTCATGACCTACGGTGGGCCAATGCAGATTACAAACTGTCACTGCGACGCCTGCCATGCTGCGACGGGCCACTCGTACGCAATCTGGGCTGCGTACCCCTTGTCTCGTACTCTCATCACGGTGAACAGCCCTCTCCGTTCTTTCCGCATCAGCGAGAACGGTGCTGACCGTTTCTTCTGCGGCCGCTGTGGCTGCAGTGTGGCAATGCAGTACCACCCAAACTCTGTACCGTGGCCAAGAGCAGCGCATCGAAGTTTGCTGGTTTCGCCTTTTTTTGTAAGGAGGAATGGACTTGCAAGCTGTATAGCCTGAACCCGTACATCTAGACTCTAAACTTGCTTTTTTGAGCGAAAGCCGACAGGTATGGCCTGAATACCACACCCTGTGGCTAGCGCGACACTTTGCAGAGTTGACAGGAGGCTGTGATGAGGTCCACATCTTCCGAGAGGACGAGCCCATGGACAGTGCGCCGCTGCCCACCACCGAGGACTCATCTCTACACCAACAACCCCTGAATAGTTAGCGGACCTATAGTACCCTCTGTTCGAGCTCTCGTATATTCGCACAAACTTGATGCACCCTAGTCGAAGCCCCTGTGTTGTTTAGCCCGAAAAGGGTTGCAAGTGTAGACCGGGGCACTGCAAAAGACTCATAGGTTGAGGGTTCAGGGTTCGGGGTTTAGGGTTCAGGGTTTTTTTACGGTTGCCATGTGCATCCGAGGGTGACGTGTCTTTTGAACAAAGCAGGCGAGCGCGTCGGCGCAGTCTCCAAGGGGTTCAGGGTTTAGGTTTCAGGGTTCAGGGTTTAGGGTTCAGGGTTTAGAGTTTAGGGTTCAGGGTTCAGGGTTTAGGGTGCAGGATTTAGGGTTCAGGTGTATCGGGTTGAGCCTGATTACCAGGACCGAAAGTGATCCAAAAAAGATGGGTGCTATAATATAGAGACCTTCATAGTTTGAAATAGGGTTTTTTGGGGCCCTATAATTTTGACAACCACCCACCTAGATCTTGAGCTCGAAACCCCCCCTGCAGCTGGAAGAGGAGTTTCAGATGCCTCCCGGACCGCGACAAGACCAAGGGTCTGCGGAGCCGGTAGCTGCCGGCACCTTGACTGCTCAAGGCCTTTTTTTGGGTTTAGGGTTCAGGGTTTGGTTTAGGGTTCAGGGTTTAGGGTAGGGCTTAGGGTTTAGGTTTGGTTCAGGGTTTGTAGCTGAGTGGATACACTTTACACTTTTTGGGGATAATACTATCCACTATAAAACTGAAAGTGTACACTTTTGGGGGCTTATGAACTCAGCAACTAGGTAGGTGGTCTAGGGTCTTAACTTTAGGTCGGAGGGTGTTGGGGTAAAGACCCCAAACCCCAAACGGTAAAGCTGGTCTGAAAGGTGGGAAAATAGCCGCACGGTGAATCTTACTCTGCGACACCCAACAGAGTTTATCACTGGCAAAGCGTGAATCTCGAAGTCTACTTCTGAGACTTAAATGAGAGTTTCCGAAAATGTGGTGCACCTCATGTTGGGTCCTTATAATACGGATCCTACTGTTTAGGGTACTTTTAGTAGCGTCCCCTTTTTTCGGAAACTTCCATAAAATGCAGCCTACAACGGCGTTGATTTAATAGTTGTTTTGGAATGTATGGAGTGTACATACATCCAAGTAGCACTTACTGTTGATGATAATATAAATCCTGCATTACGTTAAGGACCCTGAACTATGAGAATTAGGGTATATTCATTATTATGGGTCGTGCAGGATTTATATCAGCAACCGTAGGGGTACTTTATTTTGGGGTCCTTATAACAAGGATCCTACTATTTAAGGTACCATACTACTGTTGATGGACAATATCCTGCATTACCCATTATAAGGAATATACCATAGTTCCCCTAGTTTAGAGTCCTTAGAGTCATGCAGGATTTTGTCCATCAGCAGTAGTTCAGGTGTTAAGATAGGGGCCTTGATAATTAGAATAGGGCTTTGGGGCCCATTATACTATAATTACACTAAGGAGCCCCCAATGTAATATGGGCATTAAGGCCGCATTAGTGTTTGTCGGTAGGGTCCCCTATCGGTTCTTGAGAGTTGTTCAACTTTCAAAGTTCCCTGAACCCTCTCAGGGCCGGCTGTGGGGCAGCCCTCAGTCGGCTTAGGGTTTAGGGTAGTTGTCCAGAAAGGGCTTCAGGGTTTTAGGGTTTGGGGTTTAGGGTGTGGGGTTAGGGTAATTTTCCAGAAAGGGCTTTAGGGTTTGGGGTAGGGTTTCTTTGGGAACTTAAAGGATCATGGGACTTAGTAACTAGAGTTATTGTTAGGGTAACTATACTCATAACCCCCATTGGGTACTTTCTTATAACCTTACTTACTAAGTCCAATGATCCACCAAGTACCCTCTCAACCTTCGAACCTTGGCGAAGAGGCTCACCCCGCACCTGCAAGCCCGAGCACCCTGAAGCCGAAGGCCATAATTTCGGAGCCCGTATGACAAACCCCACGGATTTGGTTTGGTAATCAATGAATGATTACCAAAACTATTCCCGGGGGCTCCTTATCAAACTTGTATGTATAAATATATATATATATATATATATATATATATATATGTATGTATATATATATACATACATATGCAATAGGGTGTTCCATATTCGACTCAAGAGTTATGGCGACGCCCTTTTGAACACTCAGGTGAAGAGGCTCACTTGCGGATCCTGGATCCCAAGTTGGAGTTCCTTCCCCCTAGCGGGTGGCTGGGCGTCCAGCGACCACCCTGGCTGATGGCTGAAGGGAAATGAAACCCAGAAGGATCCCATACACATTACCTTTTTTTTAACACAAAGAAGGGTGTCTGTTAATTCAACAGAAACTAAGTATCCTGAGTAAAGTTGTGAGCCAGAAGCAGGTTTTATGGTTCGGGCGTTACGGGTCCAGGTTTTCATTCCAGACGAGGGGCCAAGGATACTTGAAGGATCATGGGATGGGACTTAGGTGCTGGAGTTAGTATTGGGGTTTGTGTTCCTGGGATTCCCGGAACTAACTGGGATTTTGGTGCGGGCCTTAATCCAAAAGTTACGGTTTTAGGGATATACTAAGTAATAGGGTCTCCTTGCGAAGGGCACTGAAAGTAATTAAGTTTCCCAAAAAGAACCGAGTATTCCGTGGGTTAAGATAGCAAGGCGCCGAATTACTTTGCTGTAAGCTTCAATGCAAAACCGTGGACTTTTACGGGTTTTACAGAGGACTCAAGGACGGTAGCCTGCTCCGTGGGTAACCGGGTTTCTGAGGTACCCGAAACATACCTGGGAGTTTCCGAAAATAGGGGACCCTAATATAGCACCCTAAATAATAGGATCCTAAATAAGGTACCCCCATTTTCGGAAACTCCCACCTACTGTAGTGGCCTGAAACATAACTAGTAGAACTGCCCGTCGTTCGGATCTATAGATATAGTGTATTATACGTACAACATTGTTCCAAATATTATGAGGCCCCGATGTAAAGGCCGCTGAACCTACGCCCTAAAGCATAGGATCTTGAGGGAGAGTTATCATAGGGATCCTTAGGGGTGTAGGGGGAGGGGGGGTAGGGGGCCTTAATTAAAGGATCCTTAAGGGGGGGTGGTTCAAGGGGGGAGGGTACTAGGGAGCTTTGGGGAACCTTAGGGAAGCTTAGGGAGTATTGGGGAATAATGGGGATTACTAGGTTACCTACCCCCCTTGGACCACCCCCCCTTAAGGACATCCTAACTTAAGGCCCATAATAAGGACTAATAAGGCCTATTTAAGAAAAATATAGTCCCCTACACCCCTAAGGATCCCTATGAAGTTAGGATCCTTGAAGGGTCGGTGCGCTGAGAGACGAGAACAGGGTTCTGCCGCAGTGCTTCTGTGATCTCGGTTTGAAGTTTTCACACATTCCCAGCCAGCCCAAGACCTTTGAACGAAGGAAAGTACCCGAACTTGCGAGAATGAACTTTTTACAGTTACAGCTATTGCTATACCTGTTCATTCGCGTCTTCATGTTTCCGACTCAAACCCTAAGGCTCAAAATAGCCCAAAAGCCTTATATAGTATAGTCTTTGGGCCCAAAAGCCTTGAAATATGAGTCCTTAGCGCCTAAGGGAAAACTAGGATGCTGAACTTCTTCTGTCTTGGCCACTTTCCTTGTTTGAGGAGTCTTAGGGCTCCCTGGACCACAGGAGACGCGGAGAAATGGTGCGCTGGTGCTGAGAAATGGCCAACAGAAGGGTTTAGGGTTTATATTTAGGGGTTTAGAGCCTAGGGTTTAGGGTTCAGGGCTCCAAATCCTAAAGCCTTCCATCCCTGCACCCTAAAGAAAGGCCCTAATAAAGGGGCCTAAGTGATCACCAATACCTATTGTGGGGGGTTCCTTATTATAAGTATAGTATACTGGGCCCCAAAAGCCCTATTCTAATTATGAGTGCCCCTGTATGAAAATCCGAAAGCCTTCACCGTAAGCGTTTAGGGTTTAGGGTTTAGGGTTATGAGTCCTAGTATTTTCCATGTGGCGGGACAAAACTTCACTTGCAGAAGCACCTCCTGCAGGCGCGGCTGTGCCCGAGGTTGTCGTGACTGAGGGAGGTGCAAATCGCCGGGCCGCCCAAAACGGGATGGGGCTTACTTGGAGGATCCTGGGACTTAGTAAGTAAGGTTATAAGTACCCTAATTGGGATCATAAGTATGGTTGCCCTAGTAAAAGCCCTAGTTACTAAGTCCCATGATCCTTTAAGTATAGGGTTGATACTTGGCTAAGTAAGAGCTTATGGCGTCTAGGGCGGTTATTGGGCTTCAGTTTTGTAAGCCCTTATCCCTGGCTTGCGGGGTTGAACTAGAGTTCGATGTGGAGTCAGGCATTCGATGTCAAGATTGCAGCCACAATGTTCCTGTTTCCTTTGTATGGCCTGTGAAAAAATGAGAGCAGAAGAAGCCCCAAATGGTGCCATCTGGGGTGCAAAGTCTTGTGTTAGAGTGTTTCGGGGTGCGGAATGAGGGGTTTCGGGACCTGTAGGATTCGGGGTTGTGCTCTCAAACCTTCCATATGCGGAGCTATGGCATCATTAGAGTCATTAGAGTGGCCTCCTGAACGATGAGTGGTCCCACGGTGCGTCCCACCGTGGGACTGGATAGGATAATGAGTGAGTAGTTACCCGAGCATGGATACTTAAAGGATCATGGGACTTAGTAACTAGGGTTATTATTAGGGTAACCATACTCACAACCCCAATTAGAGTACTTATAACCTTACTTACTAAGTCCCATGACCCTCCTTATAGAACTTATTTTCGAAACCCTATAGATCCCTTCAAGGATCCCTTTAAGGAGCCCTTTAAGGAGCCTTACTTCCTAAGTCCCATGATCCTCCAAGTACCCATCCTGCAGAAGTCGCCGAGCCCGACACATCGTGGTTAGAAAACCCCCGGGGCTTAGGGTTTAGGGTTTAGGGCCCCCGGGGCATCTTTACCCATAGGCACCCAAAGTAGTTCCTTTTTGGGATTACCTAATAGGATTCTAAATATGCACCCCCAAAAGGAACTACTTTAGGGCCGTAGGGTAAGCTCCAGATTTTGCACAGCTCTGATAGGAGGAGGGACTTGTTTGAAGGTTGTGCAGCGGACCAGAGCTGGCATGACGGTGAAGTCTACGGTTTCGGGTTTGTTTGGGGGCTTCCAAAGAGGCCAAGGTCGACCTTGCACCATGAACCTGCCTCGTAACCTGAGATCAGACACGCAACGTTGTGCACATGCTTTCATGCACCTAGAAGATGCGTCGAAGAACTCGTCATCCACATAGCAATGAAAGCAGCAGAACAGGAGCAAGCTCACATCTTAATGCCCTATACTCTAGCACCCTAAGCTTTACACCCCAGAGACACATCCCGATGCCATTGTAAACTGGGGCAGGCATTGCCCGAAGAACCAGGCGCCATTACATTTTAGAAAAACCCAAAGCCCTCAAGCCGGGTTTAGGGGCCAAGCCTTGGGGTTGTTGCCTTGGGGCCCTAAACCCTAAACCCTGATTCAGTCCAGTCCAGGGCATGAACCCAGACCTTCCAAAATCCCTTAATTAAGGAATATACCTAGGGTTCCTTAAAGGGATCTATAAGGGATCTATAGGGTTTAGGGTTTAGGGGACTCCAAAACCCTTTAATTAAGGAACCCAACGCAGAAGCCTCAAAAGCCCCCAAGCCCCGTAAACTCGGCAAGCTCAGATTGGGTGTCTCAGCCCATGCTCTTCAGAGAGGGCCTCAACCAGGCTGCCCTGGGGGGGGGGGGGTCTCCAGTTCATATGAAAAAGTCGTCGTCGCAGGAGTAGTAAGAAGAGTTTTAGTGGCATGTCAACAGGCTCCATGGTGTTGTTCCATAAAGTGTCGAACGTAGGGCTTTGAAGAAGTAGGCAGTGAGTTTAGGGGTTTGAGGGTTTGGGGGGGCTAAGAGTTCACGCATTTAAATCTCAGGGTTTTGGGGGGTTTAGGGTTCAGGGTTTGGGGTTTAGGGTTTATAGGGTTCCGGGTTTAGGGTTTCAGGGTTAGGGGCGTGTGGTTTATCCGGGTGTTGTTTCTCGGTTGTTCTCTCGGGACTGGGCGGCTTGACATTATGGAGGCTCTCGGACTTACTCTAGGGGCCTTCATAATTCCCTATACTATTTTGAGGGGCTCCTTTATATAATTGCCTATACTATTTTGGGGGGTTCCTTTATATATAATTCCCTATCCTATTTTTTGGGGGTTCCTTTATATAGTTTTTGGGAATTCTAGTATAATGGGCCCCAGAACCCAACCCTGATCCCCGAGCCAGATCCTGAAGTCCTATCCCAAAGTCCATCCCTAAGTACTTGGAGGATCATGGGACATAGTAACTTAAAGGGTTCCTTTTAAGGGATCTATAAAGGCAACTATAAGGGATCTATGGGGGGGTTTAGGGTTGAAAGGATCATGGGGCTTAGTAACTGGGGTTAGTATTAGGGCTACCATACTTATAACCCCAATTAGGGTGCTTATAACCTTACTTACTAAGTCCCATGATCCTCCAAGTAGCTCTGGCACTGGATTGTCGAATTGGAGCGCGGACCCCCCTTCAAGGCTTTCAGTTCAGTCCTTGGTGTTTTGAGTATTTGCTTTGTTCTGGTCTTTGGAGTACCATACTTTAATGCCTTTTTCTTAAAGGAACCATTATGACAGAGAAGTTTGTACTTTTTCTCCCTGGTTACTTAATAGCCCGGTGTTTCCACTTTGGGATTTAGGGTTTTGGGGTGTCGGGTTCAGGCTTTTACGTTGGGTTTCGCGGTCAGGGTTCAGACTTGCATAGTAACGAAAGAGAAGCACAGGAGTACCGCGGTGGCATCGACTTGGGTGACTTCCTGGTGGCCAAGGCGGTGCAGGGCTTTGGATTGAATTAAACCGGTTTCAGTGATGCTCGTTTCTGGTCAAGCTAATTAGTTGTGAAGCAGAGGAGCTGTAATCAATGCAAAATATTGCAAAGTATCTATGCGAAAAGAGATGGTTTACACTTGGTCATCAACCCTGGTTATTTGAGACAGGCTCTTGGATGCAGTTGCTATACCAGTTGCAAACTCCGCTCCCAGCATCAACACCGTCATCAGCGCGTCTCTGTCCGATGACACCCTGAACCCGAAGTACTACAAAGACGATGCCCGGGGCGTAGAACCGTTGTAAGAGCTGGTTAGCTTAATATGCATCGCCCGACCCTATGCCACCAACCGTAGCTTGCGCAATCGAGGCAAGGAAAACTATTGCAACCCTGAACCCTGAAATCCCT